GGGGGGGGTGCTGCCCTCGGTGGGCCCGGCCCGGCCCGGCGCTCCCGGTGTCCCGGGGCGTTGCTGTGGGGCTGCGCCCCTTCACACACCCCCCGCAGCCTCGGCCCTTTGCTGGCCTGTCTTCCGCAGGGAGCGGGCTGCTCCCGGGTCCTTGTCGCTTGGTCATGGCTCAGCCCGCAGGGACCCGCCGTGGGGGGGTTAGGGAGCCGATTCCCGCCTTGTTTTCCTGGGATTCCTTTATGTTAGCGGCCTGGGCGCGGCGTGGGGGGGTCTCTGCTGCCGGTGTTTGTGTCTGGGTTGTCATCGGTCACGGCCGCCGCAGAGACAGGCTGGGAGCCGGGGGTGCGGCGGGAGGGGAGGAGCGGGGCTGGGGCGAAGCGTGAACTCACCGAGGGACCACCTTCCTTCCTAAGGCTCTGGCACCAGCTCACCCTGCAAGTTCTGGACTTTGTTCAGGACCCTTGCTTCGCCCAAGGAGATGGACTCATCAAGGTGAAGTGCTCGGTTGTTCCTGGGGGTTTTGTCTTTCTGTAGCAAAGATGAGTGATGGTGTTTCTGTACTGGTGGCAAATAAGCAGCCTGTGACTTGGCTCTGGAGAAGCGTTAATTGAGGTGATTTCAGCTTTCTGGGGTCTATGCACTAGATGTGAGTGTGCACCATGAAAATTCTGCTAAAGTTAAATGTGTCAGTTTCAGAAGGTTCAAAGTGATTCTTTAATTTCATTTACTTAGGGTTTTTTGGGGGGAAGGGAAGCCTATTTCTTTCCCTTTCGTAATGAGGGGTTTACAAGCGTGAGCGTAGGATGGGTTGTCAGGTGTTTGGGTTATTTCACCCGATCTGGCAGCTTCTTCCACTTGTGAAGCTAATGATGTACTCACTCTGGAGTGGTGTATTATCTGTGTGCTACATGTAATCATGCACTTTTGCTCTCCTTTGTGGTTTTAGGCTAAAACTCAGTTTCCCAAGGGATAATTATTCCATGTTAAAGAGCTGTGGGTTTCTAGAGACAGTCTCTTTTCCAAAGGTCTGCAAAGAGAAATTGGAATGCTCTAGGCCTGTGCTCATTGTACAGCGATAACTGAAGGCAGGCACCAGGCCAGCCCGCAGCAGGGAGGTGTTGTGTTGTGGTACCTGCTGCCTTGTGAGGTTCTTGAACCACTCCTTGCAGCTGGAAGGAGTCTGCAGAGATAAAATGAGCTAAAATGATAAATTGTTGGCTTCTGGCTTCTATACGGTGTAGATATTTCTGTATGGGATGCCCACTACTTTGTTGGAAAAACGAATTGGGATTCAGGGAAAAGTAAGTGTTGTAGCTGAAATGAAATAAGCCTTTTCCCTGACTGTGGCTGTCTTTGTGCCTACAGCTGTACGAGAACTTCATCAGTGAGTTTGAGCACAGGTGAGTGTGGCTGCCGGGAGGTTTTGGGGTAGCCCGCTGTTGGCTGTGGCTGTTCTGACACGAGGTTTTTGTTCTAGGGTGAACCCCTTGTCCCTGGTAGAGATCATCCTCCATGTAGTCAGGCAGATGACAGGTAAGTGTCCTTACTTGGTACTTACACTATTTTTAAGCAACTGATGTCTGTGAAATTTAAGCAACTGATGTCTGTTAATAGTAACAGCTCAATCTTCAACACCAAGCTATTGTCTGTCTGGAGAACTGAACAGGGAAAGCACTAGCTCAAAAAGTTAGAATTGCTGCTACTAGAGTAGTGAGTTTCCTGCTTAGCTAGAGAAATGGCTGAGGAGCAGAAAGCCTGGTCTACAGTAGTAGTGCCTTTTGAAGGCTGAGTAGTACACTATAGAAAAAATATACTCCAGTCTTCATGAATCCAGTAAAAACATGTATTTCTACATTGAGATTTAGTTCCGCAGCACTTCCTGATTTTGCTTTCTTTTTTTTTTTAATTTCCTTCCTCTACTTCAGATCCCAATGTGGCCCTTACTTTTCTGGAAAAGACTCGAGAAAAGGTATTTTTGAAATTGCTCTCTCTGATAGTTCATCTGCAGGAGTCATTTTGTGTATGAGCATATTATGGTATAGGGGAAGAGGCCAATGTGTGTATGTTGAACCCTCTGCTTGAGAACACCTTCTCTGTTTCTCAGAGAAAACTCTGTATTTTAGAGCAGGAATGTGGTGACAAATGAAATGCAGCCAGCACAGCCTGGCTGTGGGTGTAGCACTCTCTGAAGTTGTATCTTTGTGTAACTGCAGGTGAAAAGCAGTGATGAAGCTGTCATTTTGTGTAAAACAGCCATCGGGGCGCTCAAGCTGAACATCGGGGACCTGCAGGTCACCAAGGTGAGGAGATGACTCCAGTGCTCCGAGTGTTTGGATATTCTGGGCCACTGCCACACTCTTCAGCAGTTGCTACAGCACGGACCTGCCTGGGTCTGTTTCGATTTTGAACGAGAAGGTGATAAATGTGCAGCTCCTGGAGTTTCCAGGAGGACCTGCAGTTCTGCTTCTCACCTTGTAGGCCATAAAAACAATTGTCTAGTGGTTATGGCCAAATCTCTGAGGTTTCAATGAGATTCTGATGCATGTGGCCTTTGAGGTGCCATTGCCTGTGGGCTGGAGCTGTGGGTGTGCAGCTCAGGAGAGGGGAAAGTACCTTGACGTATTCCAGGGCACAGCTTGGAGGGTCTCGTGAATTCAGCAGTGTATTTGCTGCTTGCTGGCGAGCTGCTAATGATGGCTGAGTTCGTGTATCACTTCCTGTGCTAATTGTGGTTATTTCATCTCTTGGCTGTTTTTAGAACCTTCTCTTAAACACAAGATGAGGGCTTTTCTCGTGCAGTGCAGCTTTGTCTCTTAGAGCAAGTACAAAGTTGGGTGGGTTTGGTGGGTGTGAGTATATATAAGCTGTGTATATATATCTGTATATAAGTATGGCTGCAGGGTTGTTTTGGGGGGGGATTGGCGTCTTTTAACCTAATTACTATGTAAAGGGAGAAAGCCACTGCTTTATTTCTAGTGCTGTGCAGTGGCTTTGCCTGTGCTCTCTGCTGTGCTGCCAGTGGATGCTCCTTCTGGCCCCCACAGGAGGGTCGTAGCCCTTACGGGGCTGCGCTGGGAGCACGGGGGTGATTGGGGTGTACCTTCACCTGTAACACACAGGCTTTACCCTCCTCCAGGAGACCATTGAGGAGGTGGAGGAGATGTTGAACAATCTCCCGGGGGTGACTTCGGTTCACAGCCGCTTCTACGATCTCTCCAGCAAGTACTACCAGACCATTGGGAACCACGCCTCCTACTACAAGGACGCGCTGCGGTTTCTGGGCTGCATCGATGTTAAAGATCTGCCGGGTAACTAACTCCTCCTCTGCCAGGCACAGAAAGTCCCAGTTCTCTTTCTCTGCTTCGTTGCTTCAACCTAAATCAATGTGCTGGCAGGGAGAGGGTTTTCTCAGCATTATTTTGACTCTGCTGCAGCTGGGCCAGGGTGCAGGTAGAGGGAGGAACTGCCCCTGGGAGGAACAGCTGAGTAGGATTCTGCTCCTGAGCTGCATTGAGGTGATGGGAGGGAGGAATTGCCCCCACCAGAAAGGGGTCGTTTGTTCTAGTTCCCCAAAACCTTCAATGCAGATTTAAAAAGTGGGTCTTGCTGTGGTTACTGCAGGCTGCTGAATTGCAGGCTTGGGGAAGATGGGAAGGAGGGCTGGGAACAATTTAATACAGGCACAGGGAGAAGTCAATGGAGCTTAGGCTGCTGTTTCATCCAAACTGTTTTTCTTGTTTGGGGTTTTCTTGGTTGTGGTTTTTTTCAGTATCGGAGCAGCAGGAGAGAGCCTTTACCCTGGGACTGGCCGGGCTCCTGGGAGAAGGTGTCTATAACTTCGGGGAGCTGGTAAGTTGATGTGGTGTTGCTGTGCTTGTTGAGTACCAGGAATTGATTTTGCCCGATTAACGTTCTCCTGCCTGGTTCCTGCAGCTCATGCACCCTGTGCTGGAGTCCCTGCGAAACACCGACCGGCAGTGGCTCATTGACACCCTTTATGCCTTCAACAGCGGTAACGTAGAGACCTTCCAGGCTCTGAAGTCGGCTTGGGGCCAGCAGGTGAGCCAGGGAGCTGCTTTATTGCTTAAGGCCTGGACTCAGTATTTGGAGGACACTTAGATTTTGTGGACCTTTACCTGAAGAATTCCTGACTCTGGTGCATCAGTATGATTTTAATCACAGCGGAGTAATGTTTGTTTCATCTTCATACATATCATCTGTTCTAGCCTCCCTCTGTCTGGGTGATTGGAAGAACTAAAGAGAAATCTCTTGTGATCCAAGGGGAAAGCAAACAAAACCTTCATGCAGTCCTGCACAGGAAGACCAACTCGGATTTAATTTTCATAATGCCATTTGCTCCCAGTATTAAACTGCTTCCAGTGTAAAATAGTGGCTTTCCCTAAGGAATTTGGGAAAAATGGTGGTGGTGGCTGTTAACTACCTTGGCTGTAGCAGGGATTATTGACATAGCAGTAATTTACAGCCTTCTGCGAGGCTGTGGCCTCTGATAAAAGGTCACCTGGTTGTGAGGGGCTGTTTGACTCTGCAGCCCTTTGGAGCTGGTTTATGGAACCCTAAATAGTGGGTGGGCTGTAACGGCCTCCTCCCTCACAAAGGGGGGCAGTGGGTGCTTACTCCTGAGTGGGGGGGAAGTAATAATGAACTTACTGTTCCTTTTTTTTTTTTTCCCCTTACAGCCAGATCTGGCTGCAAATGAAGCACTTCTGCTGCAAAAGATTCAGCTGTTATGTCTTATGGAGGTGAGCTGAGCGCTGGGGGTGGGATGTGGGGATGGAAGGGAGCTCCTTTGGCGGGGGTCACTGCTGAACCTTCTGTTCTCCGGGTGCGACCATGGGCTCCCCTTACAGAAACCGGCCGGTATAAATCGTTAACTGCGGATTTTGCCTCTAGGTGGTGCCAAAAGGCGAGTTCTGGGGAAAAAATCCTTGTGCTGCATTGCTGGATCGCACTTTCCAGGGTGTGCTCTCAGGCAGGGCATGGAGGTGGGGAGGAAAAGAGCAAACTTTGTGCCTTGAGGATGGTATCAGAAACAAAAACTCTTTAAGTATCTTCTAGTATAACAAAAGATTTCTAAAACACAGTTAAAATCGTAATTTCCTAAGGACTGAGAGTCCTTTCCCTGACAGGTAACCCTAAATGTTTAACCAGTTTCTCTCCTGTCACTTAAAAGCTTTGGCTCTGACACCAAATATTACTGGTGTCTAAACCTCCTTGCCCCTGGAGCTTTCTCAAAAACTCAAAATATTGAGTTATCTGGAGTGTAAAGTATGTTTATACACACAGTTGGTGTGTAGGTGTGTATGTTAATGTGGGTATATTCCACTTCTAGTGTTTTACTGCAAACAAGTTTCACCACCTCCAGGCCCTGTGCTACCTGGGGCATCTGATACGTGCTGAGATGTTTCAGCACAGATTGATCTGCTTTATTTGGGATTATGCTGTTGCCTGGGAAATCCGCTGCTCGGAGCAGCGAGGTGTGTGTGCAGGAGGGAGGGGTACTGCTCCCTTCTGCTGATATAGAGGCATTTTTCTTCCAAGTATTTTGATGAAATATGAGAAACGCAGTTGCTGCTGCAGCCTGAGCGTTCAGCGGGGCAGGAGGAGGGAACCAGTGTGTACTCTTAGAAAAAACTAGAACCATGTGGGATTTATTTTGTTTTGTTTACTTCAATTCAGATGACTTTCACCCGCCCGGCCAATCACAGACAGCTCACTTTTGAGGAGATTGCCAAGAGTGCCAAAGTCACTGTGAATGAGGTAAGTTCAGCTTCGGACAAACTGTAAATGTCTAAGTTCTGAAGACCTAAAAGTGTGTGGATAGACTGACCCCCACGTGTGAACTCGGAGGAGATGTTCTCCCCACTTCTAGTGTGTTTGGAGAACTTCTTTTCTTTTTTAAGAAGGAATTAATTTCTTGGTAAATAAAATTTTGAAGCTTCTTAGTCATAGTCTGAAGTTGGAGGAGAGCTCTGGAGGTTGTCTGTTCCCACCTGCTCTTGAGTCAGGCCTTTGGACTGGGTTGTGCAGGGACCTGCCAAGCTGCCTCCAGTGTTTCCAGTGAGAGGAAATGTCACTGATGTTTAATTTTTCTCACGGTGAAGAATTTTCCTCTGTTATCCAGATGGAATCCCTGCTAAAGCAGATCCTGCCTGTGCTCTCTTGTCCCTTCTCTGTGTGTCCTTGGGAAAATAGCACCTCTCACCTTCCACCTTACTGCCTTCTAGCTGGGGGGAGGGCTGTGATGAGGTGTCCCTGTGCTGCCTCGTATCTTGGCTGAGCAAATAACACTTCTTCATGTCAAGCTCTTGGCCTCCTGATCTCGGTGGCCCTTTGCTAGAGATTTCCCAGTTTTGCAGGGCCCCCTCTAAGCTGAAAGGGGGAGATGCAAAACCAGACAGGGTGTTGAGGGATGATGCTCCAGCAAATGTCGAGTGGAATAATGGCATCCTGTGACCTGCTGGCTGGGTTCTGCTGGGGCAGGCCAGGGCACAATTCCCCTGGGTCACTGCAGGGACACAGCCCTGGCTCTGGCACTGTTTGCTGTCCCCCCTGAGACCCTGCTCCTTCCCTCAGAGCACACTGAGCTCGTTCTGCAGCTGCTCAGAGCCCTCTGTCTGTGCTGGGATCGCTGGGTCTCGGGTGCAGGACTCCCTGGTTTCCTTCCCTGAGCTCCCCGTGATTCTCAGTAGCCCAGTCTATCGAGGTCTCTTGTTTCCAGCACACCCCCCTCCCCCTGCCAGCGTGGTGCCATCTGTGTGATTGCCACCCTTAAAGATAATGAAATAGTCTCAGACCCAGGATCACCCCCCCGAGGAGCGCTGTGTGTGACTGGCAGCTGTTTCCACCCCAAACCACTGACCACTACCGTTTGAGCTTGGGAGTTTTGCAGATTTTCTACTCATCTTGCGGTCTTCCTGTGTCCTCTGGAGCTTGTCAACAAGGATGTGGTAGACAGCCTTGTTGAGCACTTTGCTAAGAGAAAGGTGCAGCCTTTAACCCCCGAGCAAGTTATTTAATTTAAAAAGGCAATCGTGTTGGTGAAGTGCATCTTACCCAGGGTATTTTTCCAATTAGCTTGTTCTTCCTGGGATTTCAGAGGACAAAATCTGCTCTTAGGGAAAAGAAATCTCTCCTGTGTATTTGGATGTGGGTCTCAAGGCAGTGATATGACCTGAAGGAGGATGGGTGCAAGAGAGGCTGTGGCTGCTCTTGCTTTTGTTGTGTGTATGAACAGCCTTCTGCCATTTAAAGGTTTTATTCATCTCCAGGGAAACTGGGTGATTCTCAGTTGTTTTTTTGAATTGTTTTTCTTTCCTAGGTGGAACTGCTGGTGATGAAGGCTCTCTCTGTGGGGTTGGTGAAGGGCAGTATTGACGAGGTCGATAAGAAGGTGCACATGACGTGGGTACAGCCACGGGTGCTGGATTTACAACAGGTAACGACCGGCTTGAACACTCGGGGAATATTAACGTGTTTTCTTGTGTGAGGTGACCTGGAAATCAACATAAGGACTGTGGGGGTCACTGAGAATTAGTCTCCTTCGTACTTCCTGAAGATGCTCAGGGAATGAATAAGTGTGTCAGGTTTTCCTCGTTCCTTTTACGCTGCTGGCTTCAGCTCTCACCTGATGTGGGGCACTTTGTGGTTTGCAGCAATTTGTGAGAAACCTGTCAGGGACTTTCCTTCTGAAAGCTACACCAACCACCAGAAAACACAAGCGCTGTGACTGTGTTTCCCAGGAGGATGCAAACATCAGTGTGGGTGCTTTGAGCCTAAATGTGTGAAATGAAACAAAGCCCTGGAGTTTCTGGGTTGTAGATGGCACACTCCTTGGGCAGAGGGAGAAGTTCAGGGGGATAAAGAAACCTGAGCTGCTCAGGTTCATTCGTGTAACATTTGAGGAGACTGCAGAAGGTGGCTTTACCTTAAAAAGAAATAGAAAATCAGTACATGGAATACTAGCTGTAAACAGTTCCTTTTGTGCATTTCAATTTAACTTTAAATATTGCCAGTTTGATGGTAAAAGATGTTAAGGAGCATCTTCTGTGTTTTGAGAAGCTGTTTGGGATCCCCAGGTGGGTGCTGGTGTTCCCCACAGCTGGGCATTGAGCTTGCTGTGGCCTTGCCTTGCAGATCAAGGGGATGAAGGACCGCCTGGAGTTCTGGTGCACGGACGTGCGGAGCATGGAGATGTTGGTGGAGCACCAGGCCCACGACATCCTGACATAGAGGACCTCGGGCTGCCCCCGGGAGAGCGGTTCCTCAGACCACGGACTCTGTGCGCAATCTGTTGGGGGGTGGGCAGAGGGGGGAGCAGCTTCGTGACCTTGTTGGGAGGAGTAAGTGGCCTTTTGCTGTGCGACCCTTTGGTGCTTGGAGTCAAGCTTTCCCTACGCGCTCGCGGCAGTGGCACCCACCCGGGGGCTCCCGTCCCGCTCCTTATGGAGGACAGAGGCTCCTCTGCGTCTCCTTCTCCGGCCTCTGTTGGGGGATGCGACGCGGCTGTGCGTCACCGCGGCGGGGGGAGCAGAAACTCCTGCACGGGAACACGCTGGAGAGGTGCCTGACCAAGGTGTGGAGTTAATTAGTGGTAATTGGCCTTAGGAGGGCACGACCTTCCCCAGGCACCTCTCTGCCTGCCCCACAGCAGCCCAAGGCAGCGTTACTCAAATCATTTCTCCTCTCGCCCTCTTCCTCCACGTCCCCTCCTCCTCATCCGCAGTAGAGGGAGTGTTTACTCCATCAAAGGGTTTTTCTGGGATTGCCGTTTAGTGGATGTGGTTTTTATATACTTTTGGGGGCGGTTGTCTTTTACGAACACTTTGTGCTGAAGCGAGGCGCAGCAGCGTTGCTGGAATAAACTTCTCTGCCTTCCCTTTTCTGTAGTTCTGTGTGTGTCCATCTGTTTAAAAAGGTGCTTCCTTGTCAGTTTCACGTTACAAACTGCTTCCCCTCCAAGAACAATAGGGATTGAACCAGTCTGTTGATCACTGGCAGGATTAAGTGTGGTTTACCCACCCTCTTCTACTGTATTGTCAAGTTCCTTTCTTTTGTGGGAAGCTGTGGGGCTGGTACCTGCTCTCCTACTGAGTAAGTGTTTGAGGGAAAAGGCCTGAGAGGACAATTTCTGTTCTGCTTTTGCCTAATACTCCTCATTACGAGGCAGTACCAGCAAACTGTGCTGGGGTTGGCAACAGCAGCTTCAGATGGCACAGAGCCACGTTCACATACTCGTGTACCGGCCAGGCTCCTCGGGTGCGGTGGGTTCAGAGTGCTACTGCCAGTGTACCTGAGGCCTGGCCTGGCCTGGCAGCGCCCCGCTGACTCCAGAGCTCCAGAGACCCCTTGGATTCAGTGGCATCGCTCTAATGAGCAGCAGCACTGGAGTTTCTGTGCTTGGTGTGCTTGTTCTAGTTGGCTGTCTCCATCTTCTACCTGCTCACCCCCCACCCTTCTGCCTCTCTCGTCGATTCTGGCATGAATTTCTTCCAGGTTTGGAGCTGTTTGGGTCTGAACATCTGCTTTTCCCCATCCAGCCCAACGCTTCTGTCACCTGGCTCTGCCCATGGCCGTTCCGCCCTCGCAGCGCGCTTTGGGCCACCTTGTTTTCCCCTTCCGTGTTGTGCAATTTGACTTTCCCTGGTTCTTGCCTCACCTCATCTTCCAAAGCTTGTTCCTGGTGTCACTTCCACTGCCTGCAGAGATGAGCGTTCTGATCGGGGAAAATGCTTCTTTAGTTCAGAGTTGACAGGAAAAGGGCTTTCAAAAGCAGGGTCTCCTGCGTGGTGTGTTGTCAGTGCTGTCAGGAGTGAAGGAAATGCCAAGCGTGTGGTGAAGCTCATGCAGGGTAGGGTTGGTGCCACTTTAGATGGGTATCAAAACCCCTGAAGCATTACTCCTGAATCCACACTAAAGTCTTCTCCTGAGGGTGTTCTCCAGCCCCCGGTGCCGTGGGGGGTGCTGGCTGGTACTGGTGCTTCTGAGCAGCTCACGGGGGTGAGGGTCTGCAGCCGAGGTGAGTTCTGGCACTGGTTCCAGAGGCTTTTCCAGATACCTGGAAGTACTGGCTGCCCAAACCTTCCTGTGTGCGAGGGAGCGCTGGTGCCCTGCTTCCCTCACACTGTAATTCAGGGACCTGGTGTGTGTTTGGGGGATGGAGGGGCTCTTTGTGTGGGAGGAGGGGTCGGACGGTGCAGCTCTTGGACTGCAGACCGTTTCAAATGTCACTTATGGCCTTTGGAGTATTTTCTTGCTGGGAATTTAACTTGGTTTGTGCTTCCTCACCAGAGCTGCGAGCGGTTCCTGGGTGTCTGCCCTGTGCTTCGCTGACACCACGGGAATTTAACTTGGTTTGTGCTTCCTCACCAGAGCTGCGAGCGGTTCCTGGGTGTCTGCCCTGTGCTTCGCTGACACCACACGAGGTAAAAGCTGGGGTGGGGAACCCACCTCTCTGCTCCTCACCAGAGCTGCGAGCGGTTCCTGGGTGTCTGCCCTGTGCTTTGCTGACACCCCACGAGGTAAAAGCTGGGGTGGGGAACCCACCTCTCTGCTGGGGCCTGTGTTTGTATTTACTGAGGATAAAGGGACGCTGCCTTCGGGATGACAGCGGGATCACGGGTCCATCCCCCTGCCAACCAGCCCATGGTGGAAGCAAAGCCAACAAGCCATTTTCTGAAAGCTAATGTGAATTTTAATGAACGAACTCGGGGGGTTCCTTCCCGGCAGCGCTCCGTGGTGGGGTCTGTGCTCCCGGCGAGGAGCAGGCTGCTCTCACTCCTCACTCCCCTTTGCTCTTGTAGTGCTCCACGTGTGCCAGGACCCAGGCCGTGGGCCCCAGGAAGCAGGTGCACATCACGGTGAAGGCAATGGCTTGCTCCTGCGGTGGGGGAGGAACGGGAAGGATGAGCAGGGTCCCCGCGGGGCCCTGGGATGGTCGCAGGCGGGTGCTGCATCCAATGCCCCAGGTCGAACGCGCTGGTGCTTGCTCCCTGCTCTCTCCAGCCCCAAGGCTGTTGGAGAGACCGGCCGTGGGAGGGGGATTTGGGTGAGCACAGAGGCTTCCAGCAGTGGTGGACCACACCGGCTGCTCCCTAGGTTTGTCCCGGTCCCTCCATATTCCTCTGTCATGGCCCTCACAGCGGAATCAGAGAGGCTTGTGACCTTCAGCCAGGGCTCGGGGAGTTTCCCAGAGCAGCTGGGCCTGACTTTCAAATGCCTTTGCAGTGTGAATGGCAACCAGCCCCAGCCTCTTCTATTTCTGGTGCTCCAGGGCAGCGCTTAACCCCTCACACTGTCACCTTTCTTTCTTTTATTATTATTTGGCCAGAAACAGGGTCTCTGGGCTCACAAAGCACCTTGCTGCAGACCTTGGAAAGGCAGCAGGGGGTGAACCCCAAAAGGAGGGTCTGGAGGTGGAACCCAGGCAGGATTTCTGGTGAAAGCCTCCTTTTCCTGAGCCCATTCACCCAGCCCAGGAGGGTCCCCATGTCCGGGGCAGCTCCCGTGGAGGTGGGGATCATCCCCAGGGGAGGAACGATGGAGGGACCTGCACACGCTGGCTGTGACCAAAGACCCCATCCTTGCCCACAGGGACACCAGCTTTGGGGTGAGTGCCTTATGGAAGGGGGGGGGTGGGGTCCAGTCCTGTCTCTGTGCTGGAGGGGCTGCCCCATGGCTTAGCCTGGGCTGCAGGGACCCCTCGGCAGGTACCATGACCCCCAAAGGTTAAAAAAAGGGCTGAAAGGATAAAATGAAATGGAAGCAAGAGCCTGAAGGCAGGGAGCAGGCTCTGCACCCCCCCACACCCCGTGTGCTGC